AGCCCCCAGCAGCCTAGGACTATTGCAGCATAACCAAGGGGGGATTCAGGGTCACCTGATCCAAAAGAGTGCCTGTCTCCTGAATCCAAACTGGGAGCTGGTTCCACAGAAGTGTAGCCTGAAACCCGACGGCTCTGCCTCTCATTCTACTTTTAAATATCCTTGGAACCACAATTAAACCTGCAGTCTGAGAGCAAAGTGCTCTATTAGGATGACATGGTAACAGTTCGCAGGCTTCTGACTAACTCTTACTGGAATTTATTTTCAGGGGCATGTCCAGAGGGGGGCATAGGGTGACATCTGCCCCCCCCAAAAAAATGACTGCTTGTTAATCTTACAGTGCTAAACATAGATAAGACCTGTTGTCTAATGTAATCATGATATCTACAATCACGAGGTCTGGGTAGTGGCTGAAAGAATGAGATTGTGGAAGAAGTTCAGTAATTTGGGAGGGATTTGGAGATTAAAGTGATAAACACATTAATAAAAAATAAGGAAACGACTAATAACTATTATTTTTAAAAATGATAATGATTCTGAAGAAGGACGATTCTGTATAATCTTCATTTTCCATTAAGTGCACTTTGATGCCTCGCTGCACAGTCACAGTGGAAAAACCCCAAAAGTCAAGGGGATAAGGAGGAGTACAATCAGTAGCTTTTCCCACACCCTCTCCTTTTCCCCCATCGGTCTTTATCTAAGAGTAAAGTTGAACTATTAAACTCCAGCTTCCCTCAAATGACTTCAGTAAGCTCATCATTCATTTCTGACTGTCGGCAGTGTCAGGAGAATCCCCGCTCATGGGTTTTTGCAAAGTTGAAATACCTTTAATGCAGATTAGTGTCTATTCACATCATCCAGTGCAAATTTCACTTTGTGGCTAACATGAATACATCTTTAGGCTAAGAAATATGAAACATGATATTCGCTTACACAAAGAGTCTGTCATATAACATCATTTATATTAGGGCATAGAGCTACACCAGCCTCAAATTGTATTTACTTCTGATCAAATATTCTGATTTCCAGCCTCCCCTCTTCCACCCAACCTGCCCTGTTATTCTTCTATCCTGTTCTACCCCATTAACGATTCCTGGAAACACCCCTGTTTCTTTCATATCAACATTCAATGAGGCCAACAAACGCGCAAAATAAGAAATATACAAAATGCTTAATAACAATACCCCCCCC